GCGCCAGCGGCTGTAGCAGCCACTGTGCATCCGAAATTTAAATATTCCATGCCTATGCAAACAGTGTGCATCCCAAATTAAAAAAATTCAATTGCTGTGCCAGACTGCCAACACTATTTACCCGAATTTTAAATGCTTCTGTTCGCTGTACAAACACTGGTCAACCAAATTTTAAATATTTTGACCACTCTTCGTCACGGGCGTGGCGGCAGCGCGCCCAGTCGTGCTAGTATTAGTATATATCAAAGTAGGAGACTTCGGCGGCCTCTCAGGGTGGCCACGTCACCCAAAAAATTTCATCCGTCCGGTCTCCCTCCCGATGGCCAGGATTGTTTTCGCCGGATTCTGTTAGAGCAGCTTCTCCTTCTTGTGTGCAGCTTCACCGGTCTCGCCTCTGTTTTTCTCTAACTTCCCTGGCTTCTCATCCGAATCCGGTCAGCCAAATATAAACCCGGCTCATGCTTCTCCTTACCGATGCTTCTCACACACAAAAAAAAAACTCGCCCCCTCCTCCGTCTCCCACCCGACGCTCGCACCTCGCGACCTCGCCACGACCGCCGCCGACGGCAACTGGCGCGAGCGGTGCGCGGCCGCTCTCCTCCTCCTTCGCCGCTCATGCCCCCGTCTTCTCCCTCTCCCTCTCCCTCTCCCTCTCTCCTGGCGTCGTGGCGTGCCTGTCGGGCCCCAGCGTTGCTGCCTCACCACGCGGCGCGCTGCCTAGGCGACGACGCCGCTGCCTCCAGCAGGCACCGCCGATGGCCGCAGCTGCGGGTTCCTTCCGATGCGGCTTGCTCCTGCCAGTCCGCGTCTCCTCCACTGCTCACGAAACCCTAGATGCATGTCCTCATCTCTTCCCCACGGTCAAGGATGGAGGCGATGGACACAGGTCAGGTGACACAGCGGAGCAGAGCAGCCGTGCAGCAACCACCCAGTGATTTGAACCATGTACGTAATAGCTATGTTCTTTATCTGATGCATACGAAGATCAATTTGCTTCATTTATGCCTTCGAGTCAGTGCCTGCTGGTTGTCTTGTTCGATTTTATATGCATGTAAAGATCGATTCATGTTAGAATAAGGTACTCCGGCGAGTCTAATAAAACCTGGACTCTACAAAATTAGATATTTTTTTACTTATATACACTAGGTTATACCCATATCTGAGTGAGATTATAGCCTGCATACCTTCATTATTTCCTTTTAATGAGTTCCTTATTTCTTAAATAGTGTGGTTCAGCTTTCAGAAATAGGGATACATGGGTAGTTTCTATTACGTACCAATATATCCTAAAAACAAAAACAGATGGATGTAGTGTCATATACAGATCACAACAGCTACTCCTATCATGGAGTCATACAGTTCTTGCTAAATGAGGTTAAACTGACCATGAAACACATCATTGTGGTATCTTGTGGAGGACATCCATTTTAGTATGTATCAGCTGAGCCTAATAAAGTCTGCCTTGTATGACGTTTGATTGAGGAAAAAAATAGCAAGTGTTTTGTTTCAGCATGTTACTTTGCACTGATTACTTTCTGTTTTTGATATGGTTGGCTGTTCTTAAGATAGCAATAATTCTTTGTTTTTAACGCTACGCCAGCAATGGAACACTACCTTTACCTGATAGAAAGCTGACTTGTGTTGTTTATATTCTGTTTTATACTAGCCATGTCAGTGAATTTTACTGCTTGGGTGAGTTATAGTGGTGTGGTGATCCATGAACGTTTTCTATTTATTTCAGTTGTACCAGACTACCGTGACAGCATATCTATAGTTTGTTGTCAATCTCATATTGATACATACTGTCCGGCTCATTCATCCTCTCCTTTTTTATATATTGATGGCATGTTGGGAAGGCGGGAGAACATGGAGCCATGCGCGTAAGATGAACGTGTATTAGTACTCGCCGCATCTAACAGGCCATTTGATCCTGATGAGGCCGTTGTTAGGTGGACTTCGAAGGAGGTGATTTATTGTTTATTTATTTATAGCCTAATCCAACATCAGCCAGTAATTTATTGACCTCAGTCTTACGGGCCAATGGTTTCTCTGGGTTTATTGTGAATTTGCCAGATGCATCGAATAGGACAAAAGAACTTTGTGTAATGCTAGCCATGGAAGATTTGCCAGATGACGTTGATCTAAAAGCTATAGCTATCTTGACAGGAGGATACTCAGGTAGTGATTTCAAGGTATAATACTACTAATGCGATGACTTTGTTATGGCACCTATTTTTACGATAAAATATTGATTGTTGTTAATCTCTTGAATGATTATTTCCAGAATCCGTGTGTTACTACTGCTCATCATCCTACTAGGGAGATTCTTAAAAAGGAGAAGAAGGTTTGTTTTAGCCTTTTGAGTTTCCATGTGATCCGTACTCGTGTGTCCTAATAGTATCAGTTAGTAGTAACATAACCAATGGAATAGAATTATTTTCATACCGGTTGTGTTTGATATATATGGACACGTTCTTTGTTTAATAGAATCTGACCAGCGTGGGTGAGCCATTGCTGTGCCAGCTGTCATTTTGTTCTTCCTGCTCATACCTTTGTACGGTGCAGTCACTTTATTTGTTTATGCATCCCTTGTACAATTATATCAGCATCATCCAACTGGCCTTTGTCACAGGACCTTGCTAAACGCGGCGCAGTGCGGGCAGGGTTGGTTGGTGGTTTACATAGTCCAAATTGAAAGCACAGGAACTGCCTCCTGCTAATTTTCAGTGTTTGTACTTACAGCGCTGGAGCAGAAATCGTCCATCATGGTATGTTCATCAGCCCAACCTCTCAGTTTGGACCAGCAGTGCTCTACATTAAACTTCTAATATTGTTTCCATGCAAAGATTAAACATATTTTTTTTCTACGCCTTAACCAGGTGATTTGCCAGCGCGCGAGAGGGCGCGCGTCATGGACTAGTATATATCATGAGTACAACATTCGAACCGGGGTCACACACTCATCAGGCCACCAAAACATACTCCATCCTTTCCTTTTTTTTACATGTCGTGTTAGTTTTATTTTTATTTTAACTAGCAAATATGTCCGTACGTTACAACGGGAGAATAATTTAATGCATTATCTGTGGCACGAGTGTGGCTGAAGCCGTGTGTGGGCACAGTGGCCACGACAGCACGCATGCCTAGTGTAGGACATTAGTGCGCCAACCACCGACAAAGACATGGGATAGCACTGTGCAACACCGTGATGGCGCGGTAGGACACCTGTGTGGGCGTGGCTCTAGTGGTGCTTGAATGGACGCGGATGCCTACGGCGGCATATATAGGCCCCGTTCGGCTTACCTTAAAAGCCGGCTTATTCAGCTTCTTTTTTTCAGCCGGAACAATATTTTTCTCTCATAACATTTCAGCTTTGGCTTGTTTTTTCAGCCAATTTCAGCCAAGCGAACGGGGCCATAGGCGTGGCCAGACGACCATGGTGGAGCGAGCATGCAACACTTAGAGTGCCCTTAACGATCGAGAAGAGCGGCATGCATGGGAGACCTCTATCCATGCCATCGGTGCACGCGACGACACAACTGTTAGTAGAGGTCAGCCTGGCAATGAGTAGTTGGATCACGTGAAGGTCAGTCGATTGCTCCACTGTGGGGGGTCTTCCCACGGCAGGTCCTCATAAGTATGCTTATTTATGTGTCCTTTGCCTTGCCTCATTGTTATTGTTCTCCTGCACAACGGGTTAGAACATGAGAGAGGGAACGGGTTAGAACATGAGAGAGGGAAGATGAACAAAGCTACCACTACATCGGACACCAAAGTAAAATCAATGACAAACACATGGATTAGGAAGCAGACATACGAATATAACGTAACTCGAGCAAAGGATATAATGGATGCAACAAATTCATGGTGAAAATATCTATTAAAAAATAGGAGATACTCGAAAAAAATACGACCAGGTGATTTAGTATTAGAGATAAAGGCATTAGTAAGAAATCAAAATAGTTTTTTTAGGGGATAGTTTGGAAAAACAAATACAAAAAACATAAAAAGAAAGCAAAACTCGAAGCATACAGAATTTTTGGGAGAGAAAAAAAGGGGAAAAAAAAGCACGGACAGATGAGAGAGACCGAGAAAAAAAAAGATGCAAAAACAGAAAAGCGAAAACAAGACGGACGAAACTAAAAAACAAAACCGCGTGAAAACGGAACCGAGAAACACCCGCAGATGGATTACGTCTCTCGCTTAATATTAGGAAAGGAAAAAAAGAAAAAAAAAACATCTGAGGACCAACCAGGCCAGCAACGGAACAAGCAGAGACCGAAACGGACACGATGAAAAAAATACTCACGATATTCTCAAAAAACGTATACTCAATTTATTAGGAAATCAGATTAGGATTACTATCTGCTTACCTCGAGACTCCTGGCGCGGAGAAACACGGACCGGGTGGTATACTTTAGTCAGGACTGGTTAGTCTTTTTATATTAGGATAGGAGTATACAAGTAGATGATGATTTTCGCGATCGTGTTTCGTTATAGTTGGCCTGATCAAACTCGTACACAACTGCACATATAAGTCCGGTCAAAAAAAAACTCTCTAGTTAGACAGAGACGGACTGAAAAAAATGGATGGACGAAAAAAATTGTTAAAAATTTTACCTCTTTATTATTATGTATAGATATAGATATATATTTTTTACCATAAATTTTGTGAAATCCATGTAGTTTCACAACATGTACATTATATATTTTAAAAATACTTGTCATAGTGAATTTAAAAACATAAACATTATTTTATTAACATGTAATTTTTTTAAAGTTGATGGTCATCAAAATTAAAAATGCTTTAATTAGATCTAATATAAAATACGACATGTAAAAAAACGTAGAGAGTACAAAGAATGGGCCTGTGTAGGGCACCGAGCCCAGGCCCACGGCGAACTGCGAGGTAACCCAAAAGCTGGCCCAGCTCAACGAAACCGCAGTAGCACCACCACATCAGACATCACCAATCGCCGCCGCCTCTCTCTCAGTCTCTCATGGCGCAGGTCCGAGGCCCCCCCGCCGCCGCCGCCGCCAATGTAGCGGCCGTGAAAGAAGGGACTGCCGCCTGGGAGGACGCGCTGGATCTGGATGACTCCGACATCCGCTTCGATCCCCAGCCCCAGCAGGACAAACCCCCGCACCCCTCCCACCACCCCAGCCACCGCATCCCCGAGCCCGCCGCCGCCGCCGTCCAGGACACGGTCCTCCCCCGCTCCACCACCCGCCCGCCTCTCTCATCGGTACGCGGGGACGCGCGCGCCACGGACGCCGACTTCCTGCGGCCCCCGTGGCTCTGCGCCCTCAAGTTCCTTGGTGAGGGGCAATTCAGTGAAGGCCTTCCTTCGCGTTTCGTGCCGAGGTTGTCTCCGTGTGATTTGTTTGTCCGTCTTTGGTGGCTTGGATGCAGGGAAGGACCGCGCGTGGGAGCGGCCGGGGATCAGGGCCATTATGGACGACGAGGACTTGCTTCGAGCACCTGTGGTGCGTGCTCCGCACCTGCCAAGCTTTTAGTTTTTCATGACCATTTCTCCCATCCTAGAGGGGGATATTTTGGGGGTTATATGTTCACATCAATGTATTGTCATCAGGTGGCTGGGGTGGTGACCTCGTGCAAGCCAAACGGGCTCGGAGATCTCTTCTTGATTCTGAAGGTTAGCGCTGAGCACGTCATTTAGCTCTCTGTGCTGTCTTGTTTTCGTTTTAGTTAATTTTTTTCCCAGCGAAAACAATCAAGGGAGCTGTATGCCATTTCATTGAGCGCGCCACTGAAACAAGAAGCAACCTAAAAACTGAGACAGCAGTCCTTAGAAAATATGGTTTGTGAGGTCTTTGGCCCCAGCTGCACACCATAAGGCACTCTCTTCCAATGCCCTCACAGCCAAGTTTGTACTTGGAAAAGATCCATCCAATATGCAATCAATGCAATGTTTCCACAACTCTCATACCACCAGGATAATCAAAGTATTCAAGCCTTCCTTCTCTATGCTGCTTGTTCACACCTTTTGATTGCACAGCACACCCATGTAGAAAGGCTAGGCAAGCCTTTGTCAGGAACTAAAGCTTGTAAACCCAGCTTCTGTGACACGATGAACCACACTTCCTTTGAAACTACACAGGAAACCAACATGTCATTGATGTTCTCAGCTGCTTGATTGCACAAAAGGCAAGAAGCAGGGTGAGGCTACCCTCGCTTAACAACCTGTCAGCTGTCCAACAGCGTTACAGTCATTTAGGACAGCTTGCCACAAGAAGAACTAACCCATCAATGGAGCCCAAGACTTCCAAATATATTTTCAAGGTGTAAACCCGTTAGATTCCACGAACAGAGTTGTAAGCTGATTTGCTTAAATATAATCCTGACCATGGTTCAAAAAGGCGCTACTAGGCGCTCACCTAGGCGCGCTTACGCGCTGGGCGGAGGGGTGCCGCCTCGCCTATGGGGGTAGGCGGAGGGATAGGCGGCGTCCACCCAGATCCAGAGCCGCACTGCACGAGGGAGGAAGCCGCGCCACGAGCGGAGGTCACCGGTGGGGGAGGAGGACCGGCGGACGGCGGGCGGAGGTCGCCGGTTGGGGAGGAGGACCAGCGGACGGCAGGCGGAGGTTGCCGGTGGGGGAGGAGGACCGGCAGACGGTGGGCGGAGGTCGCCGGTGAGGGAGGAGGAGCGGCGGGCTCGTGCGCGTGCGGGTGACGCGCCGGCCAGAGGAGACTGAGAGAGAGAGAGAGAGAGATGCGGGAGAGGAACCAAGCAGCGGCGGCTGTGCGTGTGTGGCCATGCGGGAGACCGAGCAGAGGAGAAAGAGGAAGGGATAAGGTGTTGGGGGACCTGGGCTTTGGGCCGTTTACTGTTTTATGGGCCTTTCTCTTCAATGAAGTCCACTTATCTCCTGTTTTCTTTTCCTTTTTTCAACATATATGTGTGTATATACTATCGCCTAGAAAACGCCTTGGGAACGCCTAGGCTAGCCTAGGCTCGCCTAGGCTCTAGGCCGTGGGTCATCGCCTAGATATCGCCTAGCGCCTTCTTGAACATTGATCCTGACCCTGTCTATTTCTAAGGGTACTGGCATTGAAATCCATCCTGGAGGGTGACATTTTGTAGCAAGTCACATAGTTGGGGATATTCCATTGTTGCCTTTAAAGTGAGAGCACCTCTGATATCTTTTACCCATCCCCTATTTACCACAGCCTCCTTCACAATTCTCCATTTAATTGCTTGCCAGGGACAAGGATGATAAGGTTGGTAGTAACTTCTGGTATGGTCTTTCCTTGCAGCCATAGATTAGTTTAGAATTTAGTAGCGAACCCATCCCCTACATTGGTTATCTTATCATATCCTTATTAAAAACAGCTGTCACGGTTGGATGCACCTGGATTTATGACCCTGTCCATGGTTGACCAGAGTCTGTTTTCTCAAAGCCATACCCATCTTACTTATGGCGCCCAACCAAGAAGGGTCAGATCATGAATATCAACTATCAAGCCCACAAAATTGAAGTTGCTGTTGTCTGTTGAACTCACTGCCAATAAACAAGTCAATTACCACCATTGTCCTCTTGGCCTTTCCAAAGAAAGCCTTATCTTTTATCAATTGCCTTGATCATCAATTTTGGAAGGCTCATAACGATCATAAGATATGTTAGAAACACCCGTACCAAAATTAGTCTACCATCTTCTGTTCATCAAAGGGGCCCTCCAGCTTGGCAAATAATCAGCCACCTTATCAACAAATGACTACAATTCGGTTTTGGTGAGCTTCTTCATGGACAAAGGAAGCCCTAGATAAGTACCTGGAAAGTTCTTGATTTCACATGTGAGATGATCATGTAAATTTCAAGCTCTATGCACTCGATTAGTGTGGCCGAGGTCTTGCGATTTAAGAATATTGGCTTTGAGGACTGAAGCTTCTCCAAAAATGTGCAATGCTTGCTTGATCAGTTTCCATATCCTTCACAACGGGCCGTATCAATAAAACAGCATGATCAACATATAAGGATGGCTGGTGCTGGTGCCATAGACCATGGAATAAGAGTAGCTTTAACAATCCTTGTTGTGATGCTCTAAAGACCAAAGAGTTCAGAACCTCCATTAACAAAACAAATAGCATGGGTGACAGTGGGTCGCCTTGTCAGAGACCATGAATGAATCTCTCCTAGTTCACTGTTCACCAAGACACAGGTGGAGAATAGGTGGGCAGCAAAGCACATAGCACCGTTGCATCACCAATGACCAAAATGTCTTTTTGTATGTCTAACTTAAATAGGGTATAGGGATCCCTTTGTCTATGTAAGATTCTTGTTGTCTGTTGGAATAGGAAGAAATTATCATGGATGCATCTTCCCCGAATAAAAGCACTTTGATTACTGATACTGTGGAACTACTTTAGTGCACGTTTGTCAGCCAAGAGTTTTGTAATAAATTTTTAGAAAAAATTGTATGCCAAATATATAGATCTTAAGTCTTTCACTTGAATAGCATCAACTTTGTTTTTGATCAAAGTGATAGAAGTAGTGTTTGGCAGTCCAACCTTTGCCATCTGACCTAGCACCTGCCTTCGTCTAATTTTGCTTAATGTTGCGGGGGGAAGGCTTGCCTCGGTTTTTCCCTTCCCTAGACCCACTCATGTGGGAGCCTCCGGCACTGGGTCTGCCCTTTTTTTTATCAAGAAACAAGACCTATATCAAATGGACCATAAACCCATCCAAACCCAGTTCGTTATCTTGATGAATGTCCTTTACAATGGCCCAAACCTTATCTCCAGTAGATATGTCATCTAAATTTTCTAAATGATGGTGCTGCAGGTTAAGCTCATTGGGATCAACAGTGAAATATCTGTGTAGAGCAGTCCCCAGGAAATTTGAATTTCATCTTCATTAGTGACAATCTGATCCTCCACTGCTAATGAAAAAAAGGAAGTATCTGCAGCACCCTCTTTTATATAAAGAATATAGAGGAAGTTGAGCCTAGCTTAGTTATTTCATGGTGTGGATGTTCACCTAGACCACTCAGTTTACACATTTGGGTGCCTATTTTCTTCTTAACATATAAAAGCTGACTAATTCCACCTATGTTGGTCTAGGTTTTATCAACTCAGCCTAGGTCAGATGGTCAAGAGTGTGGATGTATTCTCACACCACCCAAGTTGTCAAGGAAAAATTGGGTTCCTAAATCTTAACTAAAAAGCCACATAGTTCCTCCTAGGTTTTTCAAGTTTTTTGGGCCAAACTGGCTATTGGGTGCCTTCACTCGACCTTTCAAGCAATACCCTCGGGATGTTTCTCCCCTTGGGTGTAGTTTTTATATGAAGAATACAGGACATAGCTTTGCGATTGTGTGCTTCAAAGAGGATAAACCAAAACAAAGCATTATTGGTTTTCCGTAATCAATCCTCCATTGATATGTTGAGATGAATATCAACTGTTTACTCTTGATAGGATCCAACCGACTCAATTGGTGCCTCAGTTCACAAGAAAGTCCTTTTAGAGGAGAATAATGGCCATGATATCTCAATTGGGTGTGCTGTTGTTTTTAGTAAGGTGAGTACATAAGTTGTGACTTATTTTGTTGTCAAACTACTACTGTGGTGTCTGGTGGCAAGTGATTGGTTCAACTGTTAAATATGTTGTTTTCAAGTCCAGGTAGCTATTTTCCGTCCGTCTCGCAAGTTGTGCTACCTCAATGTTACCAAAGGAAAAGTGATCAAGGTATTATTCATAGTTTCATACTAATTTAGATTGCTACTGATTACTGTAATCTGTTCTGATATACATGATGATGCTTTCCCAGTTTAATTGTTGTTGAAATCAAAATTGTTGAATATAATTTACTACTGAAGTAAAAAGAAATAAATCAAAGTGAACTACTCTGGGATTTGTACAAAAATACTCTTGTTCTGCTTAGCCATTTTTGGAATCTGGTTATACCAGTTATCAACTGCAACTTTGTGCATTGGATCTGCATTAATGAGGTACAAACTGTTATCTGAAGGCAACATATCAAGTGCAATCACATTGTCAGGTACAATTTCGCAGTCAACTATTGGTTTCGGATTGACAAAACGTATCGTGTATAAAATCCTGAAATTTTAATGATTCAGTGATTCTACGATTACACTGAAAAAAATATGGCACTTTGTCAAGGGCAGTGAGCCCAAGGGAAGGGGGACCTCGGCTACGTAGATCGTAGCCGCTGTCCGTGGTGGCCGGCCGGGTTATACCCCCTTGCCGCCGTTCCTCGTCGGTGGGTTATGCCCCCAGCCGCCGGCTTAGGTAGAAGAGAGGGAGAGAGATTAGATGGTAATTCTTTCTTAATTGCCAAGTGTCTGGTTACAAGATATGTATAGCCTCTGGCTCAACCAAAAGGAGTAACAAAGTCCACTAATTAAGGACTAACCAAAATAGCTAATAGATCTCCTACTTTCCCTCCTAGCCACTGCTGGAGGACGCCCCCTGGGTGCTGGCCGCGCGCACAGCAGCGCGTTCCTGGGCCCTGCGCACATCTCGGGCCCTATGGCGCCTAGTGTAGACTTGTTTGAACATGACACACTTGGTATCTCCCTTAAATTCAATTGCCTTCCAAATCTCAGGAGTCAGGACTCAGGATATAACCATCTTTCCACAGCAGTTTCATGGTGCCATTTTTGTCAATATTGAAGCACTATTACAATGCTCTCAAACACATTACATCATAATAATATTTTTTGTACAGAAATCCTCTTGGGACATATGGGTATAACGATGCAAATATTTACAGGTTTTTAGTAAGGATTGTGCTGCCCCAGCTAAGCAAGTGATTTCATCTAGTACTACTGAAAGAAGTCAAGGTGGAGATTATACCAGCAATATAATGATGAAAATTTTTGGTCGTGAAGACATGATGCCCAGTAACAACGAGATGACAGTTACTGAGGTTTCTCATGAACACCATGCAACACCTGATTCAAGTAATAGCGCTTCAACGTGGGATATTCATGGTGGGTTTAGTGTAGGAAGTAACCAGGAGGGTAAATTGCTGGTAGGAGATACACACAACAAGCATACATCAAGCTCCAGTACTGATGAGCATCCCCAGCAAAATTTGAGCATTCCAAACACTACAGGTTGCTTCTCAACCCCAAAAGAAAATGTTAATACCAGCAGCGGATCACTTCTCAAACGCAAGAGGGCTGTATCAGAATGGACAGAGGAGCAGCTTTCTGAACTGTTTGCTGACTACTAGCATTTTAGTATATATCTGATAAACAAGTTGTTAGATTTTTATTAGTCAATGTATGGAAGTTATATTAATGATCTGAGCTTGTAAGAACTTGACAAGTTTTGTACAGTGGCACTTATAGCATCTAGAGCTGCATATGGTTGTTGTCCAGGAGCTCACTTTTCTGAAATGGTTGTCATGCCAGTCTTTCAGTGTACACAATTTTATGCTTCTGTCTTCTGATAATTGAACTACAGATAATTGTGTCATTGTATATAAAAAAACTGGGAAAGCAGAGGTTTCTCTGTAGTCGGTACCCATTTTCATAAGATACACTTCATTTCTAAGCATTTTCAGGATTCTTTATGAATTGACCTGGACATGTTACTCTGGTTTCATCTTTAACTTCAAGAATAGACAGCAGGTGGCTAAAAGGCATAAAAGCACATGTTTCTGGTACAATTATCTTCCTGCCATGTTTCACCAGATGCACGTTGAAGTACACTTTGTTTAATCTCTATATAAAACGTGTGCATGTTTGGTTGGCTTTCTACAATATGATATGTGCAACATTTGTTGCATAAACAACCATTCGCAAGATAAAAGAGATGATCAGAACAACTTAAGTCTAGGCCCCAGAGACATTGATGGGAGCTTCTCCGTTCCAAATTATAAGTCGTTTTGATTTTTTTGTTCATCCATTTTGCTATATATCTAAACATATTATCATATCTAGATGCATAACAAAAATAGATGTATAAAAAAAAGTCAAAGCGATTTATAATTTGGAACGGAGAGAGTACTAATTACAATGCATTATATTGCCAGGAATAAAAACACATACCAAAGCCTTACTCAGTGGTCAAGTTTAAACCAATTCATAGACAAGTTGCCTTCCATTATGAAAACTAACCCACTGCCACAAGATTAAGGTATGTCAAGATATTTTAATGCCTATCACACGCTAGGATTACATGAAGAATTGAAGATGTCATTACATCACATTTCATTATACACAGCAGAGCACCCTATCGGACACGAAGATTGCATTACTCCCTTTGTCTTAAAACATAAGGTATCCTAAAAAAAATTATTACAGATTATGGGGTAAAACAAATTACACATGTAACCCTCTGTGGAGAGGTCTTGTTCTAATCATATGTTAAACCTAGTGGCAGACACTAATGGTAGGTACATAATGCTTCAGGGAGGGTTAATTCATCTAGAATACTTATAATTTAGGACAAATTTTAAATACCCCAGTACCTTATATTTAAGGACTCAGGGGGTATATATCACATTCCATCATAAACCAATAGGGCACCCTGTCGGACATGAAGATGCCATTATATCCCGTTTCATTATCAACAGCACGTCAACCCTGTTTGGAGCAACATCGTCTAATTGATTATCATCCAAAAAAAATAGCAGTTTGCATCTAAGCAGGATGAGAATATGATGTTCAAACCTTGCTTACATGAATGCACAAACGCATAGTTAGAATACTACTACTGCACAAGTTCTGTTCGTAATTATCACTTCCTGCTGCTACAATCTGTATCCTTCCCAGCTGCAGTGTTGACTTGCCGGTTGAGATATGCTTCATAGATCTCCACAACAAGCCTTGGGTCCTTCTCGACAAGCTCCTTGTATTCCTCGCGATCCGCTAGCGTAGACATGCTGTCCATGAGCACAGAAAGCGAGGCCTCCAGCAGCTGCTTTGCACTGTGACGGTGCGCGAAGGCATAGTGGGTAATAGCATTCTCGTTATTCACTTTGGATGTTATGAACTTCTCACAGTACGCCTTCAGGTGCTTTACTTCATACTTCTCAGCCAACACCAAGAGGTCAGATGCCATCTGCTCATCTAGAAGAGCTTCTGCAGTGTACATGTAATGGACAAAAGCACGAAGGATGTCATAAGACACATCATAGATTTTGATGACGCCACTCCTACTTTCTTCCATCTCATTTTCGAGCATTGCTCTGAAAACAGGAGATCTGCTGGCCTGTTTGAAAGAAAAAGTCAGTTTAACATATAATGCAGTTCCACTTGCAACAAAAACACACAACTAAGACAGAGATAAAATTAACACACAAATGAAAAATATATTGTGCAAACCAACAACAAAACTAATCGAGGTGAACTGCAAACGTAAAATAAGAATGCTGGCATGAATGTAAATCTGCAAAAAAAGTTAAAGTTACCAACTGAAATGAGCACAATTAGACTAAAATATGCGATGCAAACAGAAAAGTAATAAAGAGTCAAGCACTTTAACCAAATAGTTGACAGATCAAAGATTCCATGCAAAAAATGTGTGGCCGCGTAAAGAATGAATATATTTTTACCATGTGAACAAAATCCCACCCTGGAGCAACATTGGAAGTTTGTCTCATCGAGAGAGAATGACACTAGGAGTTGGGGCAATTTTCTGGTTTATTTCTCACACAAATGCCATGCCAACCTAAGGGGTTGGGGATACATATTTATAGGCTGCTAGCCAGCTAAGCATATACCAAGATGCTAGTCTAAGATGCTAAGATGCTGTCCTCTAAGATGATGTTCTCTAAGATGCTGTCCTAGATGCTAAGATGCTGTCCTTATGGCAGCAACAGCCAGCAGCCCCACAAAGACCAGACCAGCCAGACTTATCCATCAGTCTGTGAGTAATTATGCATTTAGAATCAGCACAATTAAGCACTGATATAAGCAAGATTAAAATTTTATATATGCATGTGATTCAGTGATTGTGCCATGTAGTTAATTGATCAGCACTAACATGTTCCAGTAGGTGGTGATGCTTATTCTCAGCATCTCTTATCACATTGTATCTTATGTTATACTCAAGGCAAGAGGATGCACATGAAAAAAGAAGTTAAGAGAGAATGCTCCACCATACGCATAGATACAAGTACTCGAAGCATCAACATATAGGTTAGTTTTAACACATCAAGAAAGTTTTAATTGGTACAGGGATATCTGAACTGTAGCTCTAATGCTGATTCAAGCCATAAATAAGCTCCATGCTTTATGGGGGAAAAACTGTAATGTTGCATCAGATACCTTGGACCTTTTTGCGCTCAGTCCACTTCACCTCATCATCTAGATGATACAGGAAGCATTTAGATACGGTTGTTGGCATGTAGCTTTAGAATTTCCTTCAAGCATTTTGACATTTTACATTGGCCACCACATCATGTCTCAAGAAAGAAAGATCTATTACCCACTGCGTATCTATTCTACAAGCATCTGATTCCAGCACAATCGTTTCACATGAGGATTATAAATGGGAACTTATACACGAATTTATGAATAACAGCATCATGCAAAGAATGCTCATTGGTCAGGCAACTCAATATCACTCCATCAGGAACACCGCTGAGTACCACACTAGAGGATTGGTCAGTAGGACAGTAAGCTACTAGAACTGCTCAATCCACTACTAGAAATCAGGTCTATGCATGGAATGGAAAATAAAAAAACATGGGCATCAAGACACCTCATCACAAATTGACTAAAAAAGGGCGTACCAGTACAGAGAGCTCCCGCTCTGTGCATGGTCTAGGGAAGGGTGTTAGTGGTAAGCCTTACCCTCGCCTGTGCAATGCGAGGAGACCGCGACTTGAACCCGGGACCTTCCGATCACAGGCGGTAAGACTCTACCGCTTGCACCAGGCCCGCCCTTCCTCATCACAAATTGACTACCTTCCTTTCTACATTCTAGGATTCACAAATTGACTACCTTCCTTTTTACATTCTAGGATTAGGTTTAGTTCTAAGACTAGTCGATCTAGATGTCTGTCAAGAACTGAACCATCATTCCATCAATAAGGACACAAACTAAGTAATCAAACCTGAATCGCACAAAGGAATCATGTAAACAGCGCAAGGAAAAGTTTGAGAAGGAAAGGAGGACCCACGAGGATGACGCGGTGGGCGGGGACGGCGGGTGTGTCGGGGGCGCGCCCAGCATCGCCGTCGCCTCCCGCGCCGGAGGAGGAGGAGGGGCAGGAGGGGATGGCGTGGAGGAGGAGGTCGCAGTTGGGGGCGGATGCGGCGTCGAGGGTGGGGGACGGGAGGCGGAGGAAGAGGAGGCGGGAGCGGAGCTCGTCGATCTCGCGCTTGAGCTCCTCCTCCGTCTCGCTGGCCTCGTCGTAGCACTCCTTGCAGGTCCCGGCGTCCTCCTCGTCGTACCCTTCCTTGCACGAATGGCACCACATCTTCGGAGCTCCTCCGAACGCCGGCCGACCTCGCCGCCGCGCTACGAGGGCTCTCTTTTCGGAGGGGCGGTGGCGGCGCGGACGGGTGGTGGCTTCGAGCCTTCGAGTCGAGAGGGCTGGGACTGTGAGTGGGAGGTGGGGTCCACGTAATCACGTGGGCTTGTCTGACGGCTCTTGGCGAGTTCGTATATGGGCCTAAACTCACTGTTCCCATGGTAGCCCGGCACACTGACGAACATCATTTCTCTTTCTCACATTTCCGTGAGAATTTTCAAAAATCGAAAATCCCCTAAAAAATACATAACATTTATGCGTAACAACAAGCTCCCGGATGTCCAGACCGACGCACCCGCGGCTGCTCGGTTTCCCCTTGGGCCGGCGACGAAGCAGAGGATGGGTGGGCATGCGGCAGTAGCGCACACCCAATAGGAGCACGCGCTTTTCGGGACGAAGCGTCCAGGCGCAGATCTCAGCGGCAAAGTGGAGCTCGCCGGCGACGCCGAGCTCTGCAGCGCGTAGAAGGTGGCGCAGCATGGACCTAGGCAACTATGCACAGAGGGTAGGATGGGACGCAGCGACGGCATAGAGAACAGGGGGAGGGCGGCAGCGGTGTGCAGAGGACAGGGTGGATGCACGGCGACGACGCAGAGGACATATGGGGGCGGCAACACCCACCGCTGCAACATCGGTGATGTACTAATGAAACAATGCCCGGATTACTAATGAAACATGTATAATATTGTTGCTACAACATGGTGATGTACTACTGAAACATGTCCAGATTACTATTCAAACATGTATAATATCGTTGTTGCAACATCCATAAACACAACACCTGCAACATGCACCTGAAGCACCTGCAACATGCTCCCAAAACACTTGAAACAATTGAAACATATGCTTGTAACATAGGCTTTCATGGCAACGTCTCCTTGCAACATGCGCCCTGAACCACCTGCAACATGCGCTCGAAACACCTGAAACATTCCAAACATAGGCTTGCAACATAGGCTTTTCGGAGCAACGTCTCCTTCTGCATGGGCGAATGGAGGCTCATCAACACACAGAGCTCGATGGAGGTGCGTGGAGCTCGCGCGGTGGCGCAGATCTCGATGGCGTGGAGCTCACCGGCAACGTGGATCACGGCGGCGTGGAGCTCGCCGGCAACGCAGAGTTCAGCGATGCGCAGAAGGCGATGTCACACAGAGCTGGGCGATGGCGCGCAGAGGGCACGATGGGGCGAGCGTGACGGCGGAGAGGATGGATGGGGGCGGAGGCGGCGGCGCGCAAAGAGCGGGATGGGGCGCGGCGACAACGCAGAGGACAGGTAAGGGCGGTGGTAGGGCAACGCTCAGATGACACGCATTTTGGAACGGATCGTCCATCCGTTCGGACGCTCGGGGTGTATCATTATGGCATTAAAATCTGGTCAAACTTTCCATGCAGAATCTTGTGAATAAAAATTTTAAGACACTAGCAAATATAAGTCTGAACGTTGGAATTACCACACGCTCCTAGTCTCCTAGATCAGTAAGGGCCTGTTTGGTTCCAAATAAGTCACCTACTTATAAGTTAAAAAGTGAAAAAATGACTTATTTTGCCAAACACCACCAACTTATAAAGTCACCCCTGCTTATAAGTTTTAAGTTGGTTCACCCCTGCTTAAAACTTATAAGTCACCCTTTTCGCATGGGGCCCACACCTTTAATAAGCTTATAAGTCATCTACCACCAAACATGCATGACTTATAAGTCACTGGTTTTCAGTCACCTAACTTAATAAGTCACCTGACTTATGGAAACCAAACATGCCCTAAATATGGCCTAAGCCCAGGCCTCACCCAACGCACAATCTGTTGCTTTCTCAACACCCTCTCTAGTCTCCAGTGGCAAGCGTGAGATTTTCACTTTGGCCCCGTTCGCTTCGCTGAAAAAACAAGTCGAAATACTGTTTCGGCTGATTTGTTGTTAGAGAAAAACACTATTCCAACAAAAAAAAAACAAGCTAAAAAAAACGGATTATAAGAGCAGCGAACAGGGCCTTTATGTCACGACAAGTCCCAACCCTATCGTATGGCACACTTGTTGTTCAACCACATCTGCGCTAACAAACAATGGTTGACACGGGACCTGGTGGTATATCCAGTTTTTGTAAGACAGATTTTGAGCCAATATACGCGGCTACGACGAGCCAGCTAGGCAGCTCATTGTGATGCATCCGGATGGTTTACTTCTTTTTTCTTGTTTGTGCATCGTTCTAAGCGTAGCAAAATCTTGAACATTGGTAAATAATACTCTCCATTTTTATATTATATCACTTGGACTTTTTCCGGGTAGATAAGTTTTGCTATGTATATGGACATAGTATATCTAGGTGTATAGCAAAACTGTGCACTTAAAAAATCAAAACGACTTACAATTTGAAATGGCCGGTGTAGTTCACAACATAGATACAAACTAGGACAGCATCAAAGTCATTCTAAAATTAAAGATTGTTTTTCATTTTAACAAACATCATGCTTCTGAAGATAGTGATCGAAATCCATGTTGCTCCTCACCAGTTATCTTTACACCCACTCCTACAGTTTCTAGATGTCAATCTTAGTTGTACTATTCCTTCTAATCATTATAAATACAGTGTAAACAACGTGTAAAGTTTGTTTAATACTTTAGTTTTAATGTATGTAACATTGTTACTAACCATAGTGTACAGTGACTTTTAAAATGGTGAAATAGAGGGTCATGATATGTAAAAATTGGTGGTACGTGTAAGAAAAAAATGGCTAGAGAATATTGTCTAGACTTGATTCATGCTTTGATTCTATTCTAAACCTGCTCCTGAAGTACAATGTGTCATTTCTGTTTCTTTGTATATGGCCCTAGCAACCATAAAATATAAGCATTTGCGAAAGCATGCCTGCAAAGATGGGACTAAAGGAAGGTCACCGTGAGCACACTCTTGCTTCGCTCCTTGGCGCGCTGCGTGAACCCTTCGCCTTGCACTGGCGATTGTCCCCGACGCAATTGCATCTGGTTTCTCTTGGAAGTAGATGCCTGTGCCACCCCTCCGCCCCGCCGGCAGCCACCCTGGCCCCAGCGCGTGTGCAACCCTCGCCGCTAGCTGCTCTGACGTCGGCATCTGTTGAATCCCATGCTCTGGAGCCCTATTGCGGACTGCTTTCGGCTGTACGGGCCTTGGGCCCCCCCCCCAGCGGCTTTGCCATGGACGGCGGTGCTTCCCTCCGTCTCCAACCGCTTCAATTCATCTAAGTAAGCTCCTCCCTGCTCTTCTTGCCATGGCGCTTCCCGTGCTTTCGTTTTCGCCGGGCCTGAGAGTTCAAGATGAGTTTAGAGGGACGTTTGGGGTCCCGGTGTCTTCTTCTCGCTCAGATTCCTTCCTCTTGGTTGCTGCTTTTGGTCGTTGTAAGTTTAGGCTCTAGGAACCCTCGGTTGGCTTGATCCTTCAAGCCACCATTGGTGGCTCAGTGCCCTGTTTCAAGGTTTCTGCTCTTGGTGATCGTGTTTTCAAGTTTTCGGTGGCTTCCAAGGAGACTGAATTATTCATCCGCCACCTTTTTCTGCTTTGAATGTGACATTTACAAGGTTTCTTTTCATCTTTGGGGCAATGAGGGTCCTAATTGGCGTCGTGAATTCGCGCTCTTCCTGGAAGAAGAACGTAATTCTTGGAAACCTGCTCTCTCTGGACGACCTGCCAAACCCTCCTATGCGACGGTGGTTCAATCTTCGGCAGCTACGCCTCCCCTCTCAGGTGCCAATGCCATCCCCTTGGGCAATGGCCCCGTCCGCATCTCTGTTTTCCAACGAATTGTTTATCCTAAGAAATTTGTGTTTGAGCGCTTGGACCCTAGCCCTTTTCCCTGGCATGGTTGCACTGAGTCTCTTCGTCATCCTCTCCAGCACGGCGCTGCCGCCATGACCCCATCTTGCGCCAGGTGCCTTTCTCATGGTCACGCCAGGCGTGAATGTCGTTGGCCAATCAAGTGTCGTGCATGCTTTGCCTCGGGGCATGTCTCTGCCTCGTGTCCTCAGCGGGCCATTAAAACTCGACAAACTATAGACAAAGGCAAGGAGAAAACGGTGCCAATTAAACCTCTGGGCTGGTTCACCTCTTCGGTTCACTCGGGCCCCTCCCAGCCACGTATGTTTAATTCCTTTGAGGAATTGGTTGCGGCCCTTTCGCCTCCTTGGGCCAAGCCGAAACTTGTGCCAGAATTAATTATCCCTTGGCATTTCCGCCCGGATCCCCTGCAGGTGGGCCGTGAAAGGCCGGATCTCAATATTCCGGCCACTTTAGCCCCCTTGGCATGGTCTCTGGCCACCCTTCGCCTTCCTCTGTCTCCTATGTAAGCGTGATAACCCCTCACTTCTCTGAGGAAGAAAACCCCAACCCCAAGCTATAGTACACTCCCTCGCCTCCCACCGGTGAGCTTCCGAGTGACATGGCGTACCAACGGGCGGACTTGAGGCCCGTCGTCCCGCAGACCTTGGTGTGGCAGGATGTGGTTAATTGCCCGACAATGGTCAGGGCAGTGGCTTCAAGAAGAGCTTAGAAGAAGAACGTGGACCTCGCCATCGTGACCATCTCCCCCCTGCCGGGTAATGTTCTTGACTTCGATGTGGTGGATAAGGTGTTGAGGGAGTTCTTTGATGCTAGAAGGGTGGTGATTATGGATATACAACCATGCAGTCTAGGTCAGGCCTATGTCAGGTTTGATAGAGCTTTAGATAGGGACGCTCTCATCCAGCAGGGCCCCATTCCGTTTGATAATGTGACCCTCACCTTTGTCAAGCATAATGAGGGGAGAAACTGGAGGAGGGTACATTTCAAAACGAAGTGTTGGCTCATGTTGTTGGGGTTTTCCCCTGATTATCAAGAAGAGGACTACAATCAGGATGCCATTGGTACTTTCGGCAAGCTCAAGGGGATGTCTAAATCGTTGTCTCTACGCCTTAAGAGCATGGGACCCATGGCCACAACCA